TCTTCGGTCTTAGAGGTGTGGAGGTGGAGGCGGAATACCAAGAGCATGCGTGTGTGTGTGTGTGTGTGTGTGTGTGTGTGTAGCTATATGTTTTGGCCCATGGACAGTGGAAGTTGGTGAGGGAGCTGTCAGAAATGCCCTCCTACCCCAGGACCAGCAGTTAGCGTAATGGCTATGTCGCTGGACTCCGACGTAGTCGACCACGGTTCGTGTCCCGGACCTGGTGGCTTAAAACTCACGCCGGGCGCATGTGTGTGCGTGCCCAGGATCCCGAGAGGAGAATGGAGGAGAAGGAATTGCGGCGTGGCTATCCCCCCGGGGGGGTGATTTCTTGCTTTCTGTCTCTCTTTGTCTGTCTGGCGAGTGAACGTGCCCTATAGCAAAAACCTCTCCAAAAAAAAAAAAAAAAAGAAAGAAAGAAACGCCCTCCTACCCCTATCTGCCCTATCTGGAAGTCTAAAGGCCCAGCAGAGGGAATCTTGGCAGTTTGGTTACTTATTCACTCATCCATTTCCTCTTTTGCCCATTCATTCATTCATTCGTCACTCAGTCTAAACCCTTGCTCTGGGCAGGCCCTGTACTGGGGACTCAGATGACTCAGATGAGATCCCTGCTCTTGTGAACTCCTGTCTAATGGGGGAGACAGGCCCCTCTGGACAGCGACAGCCAGCACCACAGTGATGGAGACGGAGATTAGTTCATTGTGTTCTGCCACTGAGTGAGGAGGTAGGGGTGTGGGGTGAGCCTGAAGGATGAATGCAGACATGTGTCCTCCATCAGCGGGGTCGCATGAAAGATACAGGGGCCGGCAGGTGGTGTGGTGGTTGAAGCGCTGGATTCCCACATGGCTGACCATGGTTTGAGTCTAGGACCTGGCGGCTTGGTTTCTTATTTTCGCTCTTTCTTTCTCTCTTTCTGTCTCTCTCTGGTGAGTGCATGTGCCCTATGGTAAATTTAAAAAGAATAATAAAGAAAGAAAATTAAAACAAATAATTTTAGAAGAATAATTTAATTAATTAATTATTATTATTTTAACCACAGAGAGAGAGAGAAAGCAAGTCACCAGGTCCAGGACTCAAACTGCAGTTGGCCATGTGGGAGTCCAGTGCCTTAACCACCATGCCACTTGCTAACCCCTAAAAGAAGTAATTCTTAAAAAAAAAAAAAAAAGGAGGAGGAGAGAAGGAGAAGGAGAAAAAGAAGGAGTAGAGGAGAAGGATGCAGCATTGGAAAAGGCATGCTTGCGGAAGAAAGTGCTCTTGGTCACTGGGCTTAAGGGGCAGCTCTGTCCAGATGTGGGACTTCCCAGAGGCCCCCTTAAGAGACCTCTGGGCTGAGAGCACCACACGCACGCTTATCCCACAATGGAAAGGAGCCTGTCAGATTTGGGAGCCTCCAGAGAATTTCTTGGCTGGTCAACATGAGTTATGAGTAGGTTGTGGCGGGTGATGGTTAGACTTGTGGCTTCTGGACTTAGGTCAGGGTTCAAATCTTGATGTTAACCCTTATCAGCTGAGTGAGTTTGGACAAATGACTTTGTACCCTTTGCCTTGATTTTTTCCTCTGGAGGCAAATGTGCATGAAATGCTTGCACGGTGCTGGCCATGTGAGGAGGGCTGTAATGACAGGGTTATAATGACAGTGACAATGGCCAGGATGATAATGATGACAGTGCTGCCTTTGCAATCTCTGGGCCTCATTCTCCCAGAGATTCTTTTTAAGAACTATGTATTTATTCAATTCTGTTTGTTATTATAACTATTATTATTATTTCAGTTTGACCAACGAGAGACAGAGAGAGAAAGGGAAAGCAAGAAAGCAAGCCTCCAGGTCTGGGACTTGAACTGTGATCGACCACATGGGAATCCAGTGCCCCTAACTACTAGGCCGGCAGCAGCAGCAGCACTTTCCTGGGCTCTGCGACAGCTCTGTGGCATCGGCACCTCTGGGGCAGGCCCAGAAATCTGTATTTGAATCAGCCCTGCAGCTGGTGCTGACGCAGGCTGAAGCGTGAGAACACAGACCCAGCGATCACTTCCAGCCTTTTTTGGATCCTCTCTTCCAGGATGATAATTCATCCTTGTGAGTTACATGCTGCTGACATTTAGAGCCCTGGTCTGGGGCACAGTGGGGAGCAGGCACAGAGCTGAGTAAGATGTGGTCCTCGCCCTCAGAGGGCTCCCAGGTGAGCTGAGAGGGGAGCTCAGATACCTGTGGAAATACTCACTGGAGTAACTGACTGTACTGAGCAGCTGAGGGGACTGGGAGTCTGTTCTGGAGGAAATAGCCCAGAGAGGAAGGACCTCTATGGGCTGAAAGGGGCTCTGCAGAAAGGGCTAGCCTAGATTTTTTTTTTCCCCTAGTTTTCTAAAGGGTGCAAGTGCTCTCCACACAGACACAGAGAGGAAGGGAAACAGAGAAAGGGAAAGCACACTGCCTGGGGTATGGCCGCACCTCAGTCCCTTCTCCTCCATTCTCTTCTTGGGATTTGGGGCATGCGCGCATACATACCTGGTGTACTTTTTCAAGCTGCCGGGTCCAGGACTAGAACTGTGCTGTTGGCCACATGGATCCAGCTGCCTTAACCACCTTGCCACCTGCTAGCCCAGAACTAGCCCTCTTTTGCTTGTCTTGATAGTAAAGTTGATCCAGACTTGCTGGAAGACCTCTCCTAAGTCTTACTGAAGCCACTCTTACACACGCCGTTGTGGGGTGGGTGGGAACCGGGCTCCGGGCTCGAGGTCGGGAGTGGCGATTCACACAACTTCCTAATCGTATGTCTCTGAGTTGCTCACTTTCCATCCCTGGGCCTCCTGTTAAATGGGGTCCTGGGCCGAATCCACTGCGTTTGAGGCGTTACTGTGCTCTGGAGGGCCGGGTGGGAGCAGCAGCTCTCTGGTTTCCGGCCCCTCACCTGCTTAGTGAGGAACTGCAGTTGCCCTGGCCACCAGCCTGTCAAGTGACTCTGGGAGGTCCTGCGAGCCGGAGCTGTCCCCTCTCTGGGCAGGTTTCCTCACAGTTCAGGGAGGACCATGACCCCTGCTCCATCCCCCTCCACGGCTCTCTTCCATCATGGACTACATGCTCGTTTGCAGGGCTCCTTCATGTCCAAACCTTGCTGCCGAGCACTCGAGGCCCTCTGCGACAGGTGCCCCGCTTTCCTGCAAGATGAAGCTCTTCACAGCTTATACCTACACCCTGTTCTGGTCCTGTTAGGCCCTCCACTTCATCCTTCTCAGCCTATCCAAACCCATTCAGTCTTAAGGCCAGCTTTGGTCTTACCTCTTCCAGGAAGACTTCTGGATTGCTGAATCCTCATTGCTGTCTATGGCCCATCTTGTGGCTTAAACTTTTCTTTTTCTTTTTTTTTTTTTTTTTGCTAGAGGGAATGTGCACGCACTAGAGAGGTAGAGAAAGAGAGAGTGAGAGTGAGGGAAAGTGGGAAAGCAGTCCTGCCCCCCGTGGGGGATGGTCATGCCACAATCTCTTCTCCATTTCTCTCTCCTTTCGGGATTCTGGGCATACATGTGTGCACATGTGCCCAGCATGTTTTTCAAGCCGCTGGGGTCTGGGACTTACTGCACAGCCGGCCACCTGGAATCCAGTTGCCTTAACCATCCCACCACTGGCTAACCCCTTGTGGTTTTTAAGGTGTGACTTTTTATTTATCGTTTGTAGAAATAAAGCTACTGACAGATGACAAGCTCTTTGTGGACAGAGCCTGAGCGCAGAGAGATGGACATCAGAGGCTTTGACGTCAGAGCAGGGAGGCCCAGAGGAAGGAGGAACCGTGCCTAGAGTCACATAGCTTGTTAGTTCAGGAACCGGGCCTGGGACTCAGACTTCTTAGGCAGGACATGCCCAGAGGAGACATTTGGTGTGCTTGTTTTTTGCTTTTAATTTTTTTCTTTCTTCGTGATAGAAGATGGGCATGTGGGTGTTGAGATAGAGGCAGTGAGGGAGAGAAGCACTCTCCACAAGGTCTGGTCATGGTACGATCCCCTTCCTCCAGTCCTGCATCCTGCCAGGTCCTGGGCATTGTGCTCATGCCTGGTCTGTGTCAGGCTGACCGTGCGGGGGATTCAAACCACAGTCGCCATAAGGGATCTGGCTTCTCTCGAGCCATGCGTTACTGCTGTGCTGTGCAGCTGGCCCTGGGGGTGTGTGCTGTTGTTCCCCATTCTCTTGTCTGTCCCAGCAATCCTGCCTGAACCCCTTCCCCACCCTTCTTCGCTTACCCCCAAGCATTTCTGTCCTGCCGTCAGTCCTGTGTGAGTGCCAAAGCCTCCGGTAGAAGCTGGGGAGAAGAGAAACTGATGTGCTCTCTACAGAGGGGCTGGGTGGGTGCCCAGAGGACTGGAGCCTGCAGGGCCATCGGGTGGGATTTGGCAGGTGCCACTTTTAGAAAAGTCACGCTGCCTATTTAAAGTAGTGAGGGGTGTGCCTGTGCCTGGGCTGGATGCTGGCAGACTGGGGCGGCTCAGCGGGCAGGCGGCCCGCCCAAGGGTGAAGAGTCCTAGCAGGTGGGTCTGGTATCTCTCTGGGAGGCCCTGGCAGCACCCTGGCCGCCTGCCACCTTCCAGCCTGACACCTTGTGGAAAGATGGAAGCGTGGTGCTCATGTCACCACCCTGGCTGGCTGGGACCAAGGAGCTAGACCATCCCTCCTGGCCCCCCGAGAATGATCCCAGAGCCAAGAGACATTGTGGGGGAGGATGACAGGGGCTGGAGCAGGGGTGACTAGAATTTGGCCGGGGCCAGAGGCAAACTAAGTGTCCTGCTGCTGCCCAGTGGGCGGTCCCAGGGCCCCCTGGCTGGCTGTGGCCCATCTGGCAGCTTCTGTCCTTGCTCTCCACCAGGCAGGCACGGGAGCCTTCTGGAGGGGGAGCGGGAAGGGACGGTGGGAGGAGAGGCCGGCCGGTGATAACAGCCAGCCGAGGGGCGGGAGCGGGAGGAGGAGCAGGAGGAGAGGCCGGCGGGTGGCACTTGGAGCCTGAGCCCGACTGTTGCTCAGGTGACCAGCGTGTCTCCGGGAGGGCACACAGCCGGGCCCACAACTAGCGAGACAGCCGGCCGAGATGATCCAGAATGTCGGAACCCACCTACGCAGGGTATGGAGGGTGGGCTCGGGTGGGCTGCAGGAGGAGGGGACGACTCAGGGAGAGACTGATGTTGCTATTTTAAGTCTGCCGTTCTGCATCTTCTCTCTCACTTTGCATGGGTCATTTTCTCACTCTCTTTGGGAGGAGAAATGGCAGAACCCCCGGGCTGGTTTGTTACAAGCAGCCGTCCCCAGACAAGCCCAGGCTGTTAGACTTCGGAGCTGGCTGTGCAGAGGGGAATCCCCTTCAGCAAGTTCTTGGGCTCTGGAGTTCTGTTCTGGGGACGTGTGTTTCTCTCCGTGGAGTTGTGGGCATGCTTTTGCTGGATGGCTGAGCTCCTGAGCGCCGACATCGCGGTATTTAACTCTCAGAGCTCCGGGATCGAGGGCCATGGGGCTGATGGCCATGGTGGGGGGAGTGTGCCTGTGAGTGAGCGAGACAGGGCAAAGCTGGAGGTTCTCGGGAACCTAATCTCTGGGAGAGCAAGTGCCGGACCACGTGAGGGCTGTGGAAAGGTGTCCTGCAAGGTGCCCTTGAAGAGAACTTCTCCCTGGATTCTCCCAACAGGGACTTTGGAGCTGAGATTAGGTGCTGCAGCACAAGGACAGATCCCGTGCTCAGTGGCACCCGGCAGGGCCTTTGATCTAGCGAATGGAGAAGTCTGACAGACTGGCAGAAGCGGTGCTGGATATTGGGAGCTTGTGGTCTGGGATGTGTTCAGGGAAAGCTTCTTTATTTTTTTCAGGTTTAGTTAGGAGCCAGCAGTTGGTGCAGTGGTTGGGGCACTGGACTTCTGTGTGGCTGACCGTGTGAGTGTGTGTCCCCAGAGTCCCGGGAGGAGAATGGCGCCGTTATCATCCCTTCCCCCACCCCGGAGTGATTTCTCTCTGTTAAGTGTACATGCTCTATGGCAAAAACCGTAGGGGAAAAGAGAGAGAGAGAGAGAGAGAGAGAGAGAGAGAGAGAAGTTTATTTCTTGGGGCCAGCAGGTGATGTGAAGTTTAAAGTGATTGAATCCCACATGGCCTACTTTGTGGTTCGAGTCCCAGATCTGGCAGCTTGAAAATCACGCAGGCATGTGTGTGTGTGTGTCTGCTCACAATCTTGAGAGGAGGAAGGAGGAGAAGGGGTGTCAGGATGGCCGTTCCCTCTAGGGATTGATTTCTCACTTTCTCTTTCTTTTTGTCTCTGTCTCCTTTCAGTGAGTACATATGCCCTACAGAAAAATCTAAAAAATCTAAACAAAACAAAATTTCCTTTCATGAGAGACAGAGTGACAGAGACAGAGGGATAGGCGTCTCCACCAGGGTCTTCCTGCCACAGTCCACCTGCAGTCCCCACCTGCCTGGATCACTGCCAGGAATACGCGCTCCTAGCCTGTTCAGGGAGCTGCCGGGATGTGAACCAGGGCCTTTCCCATGTGGTCCTGTTGTGTTACTGCCACACCCTTGCTTGGTCCAGAAGCCTTTTGAAAAGGATCTGGGGGACCAGCAATTGGTACAATGTCTGTGTTGTTGGACTCCCATGTAGTCGACCATGGTTTGAGTCCCAGACCCGGTGGCTTAAACTCACGCCGGGCGCATGTGCATGCATGCCCAAGATCCCAAGAGGAGAATGGAGGAGAAGGAATTGTGGCATTGCCATCTCCCCTGGGGGGTGATTTCTCGCTTTCTGCCTCTTTCTGTCTGTCTGGTAAGTGCATGCACCTATAGCAAAAACCTCTCAAAAGAAAAAAAAGAAAGGAAAAGAAAAAGAAAAGGATCTGGACATGGGGCCAGCAGGTGGCATGGTGGTTAAGATGCTAGACACTCCTACATGGCCAATCACGGTTCGAGTCCCAGACATGGTAGCTTGCTTTCTCACGTTTCTTCTCTCTGTGTGTCTGTCTTTCTCTGGTCAAATGAAAATAAATGAATAAATACATAAAATTAAATAAATAACTCTTTTTAAAAAGGAGAAAAAAAGGATCTGGACAAATAAAGGAATGTCTTTTTGGGTTTGCTTGCTTTTCTTTAAGAACAACTTTGGTACCGATCCAGAAGACATTCCCAAACACTTGAGAATTACAGAGGTGCGAAGGGGATTCCAGAGGAAGCCAGGGGAGTTCAAGCCCTACCTTGTCTCTCAGGCAGATTCCTTCCGAACCCTCAGAGCTCAGTTCAGATGCTGCCTCTTCTGGAAAGCCTTCCCAGATTTCTCATGGTACCCGAGTCTCCGTCAGCCCCTGCTTACATGGGGTTGTGTGCCCGACGTGCACAACCCTCTCCTCCACCAACCCGCGAGCTCCCCAAGGCTGCTCTTGTGTAACCAGCAGGGGGCTGGCCGTGGCCGAGTCCAGGCCATCTATATGAAAGAGTGGGAATAGGCAGCTTCTCCGTGAGGCCAGTGGCAGGACCTCTTGCTCCTGGCCCTGAGCACGGGGCAGAGGACCTTTTCCAGGTTGTGCCCTGTTGTATTTAACCCTTCAAGGCTCTTCCCCCATGAATCCTCATCAATAACTAGGGGCAGGGCAGTGGGGGAGGGACACGTCATGATCCCCATTTCACAAAGCTAACAGTATCAAATCCTCGCACACTGACCGTGTAGGAGCCACGCCCAGCTCTGGGTATACACGCTCAGTTCTGAGGTCGGTACTGTTACCATCCCCATACCCCGGATAAGGAATCAGAGGCTCAGAGAGGTTAAGCTACTTGCTCAGGACCACACTGGTAGGAAGAGGCAGGTCCAGGACTTGAACTTGGACAGTCGGGCTCCAGAGTTTGAGCTCCAACGGAACCTGAGGCTCAGCCCCATGAAGGTGTAGAAGTAGGCTTTCAGCCTGTATATTCCAACTCCACGCCCAGCTACCATTGTTCCCTGTATTCCTCCATCAATTCTGGGGATGAGGTGGGTGTGGTGCGGCAGTTGGGCCCGTAAGGTGACAAGGGTGACCTCATGTCAGGGAAGAACACTCTGACTTTGATGGTCACCTTCGGAGCACTGATGGCAGATCTGCTTCCTTGGCTTTGTCTGGAATTCCCTTCATACCTCCGTATGGAAGGTCTGAGAATGTCCTCCGGGTTGGTACCCAAGCTGTCTTATTTTTATTTTTAAAATAATTATTTATTTAACTTATCTATTTATCATTTTAATATTTGCTACAGGGCATGCATGCTCACCAGAGAGAGAGAGAGAGAGAGAGCGAGAGAGAGAGAGAAAGTGAGAAAGCAAGCCACCAGGTCCAGGACTCAAACCATGGTCAGCAATGTGGGAGTCCAGCGCCCAAATCACCATGCCACCGGCCAGCCCCTCAAAGCTGTTTTTTTTTTGAGAGACTTTTGCTATAGGGCGTGTGCACTCGCCAGAGAGACAGAGAGAGACAGAGAGATAGGAAGCGAGAAATCACCCCCCAGGGGGAATGGCCACACTGCAATCCCTTCTCCTCCATTCTCCTCTCGGGATCTTGGGCACGCACACACACATACCTGGCATGAGTTTTAAGCTGCTGGGTCTGGGACTCAAACCACAGTCGACTACATGGGAGTCCAGCAACATAGCCATTACGCTAACTGCTGGTCCCTCAAAGCTGTTTTTAATGAAGAGCAAGCAAATCCAAAAAAGGCACCAAACTGTTTTCACACTGAAGACATCCAGGGACCAGTAGATGGCGTCAAGGTTATCGCTGGACTCCCATGTAGTCGACTGTGGTTTGAGTCCCAGACCCAGCAGCTTAAAACTCATGCCAGGTATGTGTGTGTGCATGCCCAAGATCCCAAAAGGAGAATTGCAGCGTGGCCAGCAATCACCCAGGGGGTGATTTCTTGCTTTCTGCCTCTCTCTGTCTTTGTGGTGAGTGCATGTGCTCTATTGCAACAATCTCCCTTAAAGAAAAAAAAAAAATAAGACACCAGGAGACTGAAGAAAACCAGGTTAACCTGGAACATAAGTATGGTTCTCGGATCACGCCCAGCCCAGCTCTGCGTGGTTGGGGACCTCTGCAGTATCCTGTGGGCCTGCAGACTGGGCGAGCTGGAGTCTGACAGCACTGGCTCCTCCGTACCGCCAGGTCCCAGCAAGCACGTGGCAAATGTGAAGGAGAGGTGAAGGGATGAAGCAGCCAGTCTGCCTCCAAGCTGGGGAGGTCCCGGTGCCTGCCCATGTCGCTCAGTGGCCCAGGGAAGCATGTTCCTTTCCTCTGTGAGGTTCTCAGCCCCCTCCCATTGGCTCCCTGGCTCCTCACATCAGGGAGATGGGTGATAGAACTCACCCCAGGACAGATGAGGCCTGGAGAAGTCAGGGCATGTGCCAGGGCCCATACAGCTGACAGGGGACTCAGGACCCTCACTGCTAAGCTGAGACCCCTTTTCTAGCCCTTGTCTGGACCACGGAGGCATCCGGAACCTCCATGTACCCAGAAAGTGGCCTCGTTGTCATGCTTGGGCCCTCCTGTCCCAGCCTCCTCTGCCCACCCTTGCACACTGACAGGGTAGGTTCAAGGTGCTGGGCTGTCTCAGCTGCCCCCTCCACACAGAAATCAGGGTCTGGGGGCTGCACTGCCCCTCGCCTGGCCTGGGGGGTTCCTGGAGCCTTTGCAGAGCTGCTCACTGCTTTGCGGGACAGCAGGAAGGGTCAGAGACTCCGCAGGGACACTAACTCAGGTAACCCTCACCCCGAACCTCATCTGCAGTCCGTTCTGCAGATCCGGCCGGCCGCGGGCAGAAAGAGAGGCTGAGGACTGTGCTGTGCATAAGTGGCCTTGGGGGAGTGGCTCTCGCTCACTCTCTCTTCCCTTCTCATCTGGACTTGAGTTTCATGGTTTGGAATTTGCTGTTAGAAGGTGGTGAAGCCTGATGGGCAGCGATTGACTCATGGCGATTGCATCATGGAGCCAGCGCTCTCAGGAATGCATTAATGATGTCTCGAGAGACAGAGAGTTTTAGCTCTGTGAAAAGGGGTTAGTTTGGGGTCAGCAGGTGGTGTGGTGGTTAAGGCGCTGGACTCCCACGTGACCAACTACAGTTCTAGTCTCA